AGCTGTTGGTGTTGGGTGACACCTTCCTTACTGGCTGTTTGTATGCAGCGCGTGGTTGCACCGCACACGTCCCCTGACTCACTGCAGGAAGCCATCTCGAGGCGGTATGAACAATGCACAGTGAAGTGTGAGGTTTAGAAGCTGAACATCACAGAGGGACGCAGGATTATTGCTACTCTAAAACAGAACTTTGTCAAATTTCCTATTAGCAACGATGTCCATATTGGTAAGCTCTGCTAGCTTTATTTAAAACTTTTTAATTTCCTATGTAGATATATTTAATGAAATGCGAGAAGATAATGAACTTACTGCCTCATGTTCAGGGCTGGGAACGGGAGTAGACACGGATGTACACCATCTACTTGGCTCCAGTGTGTTTCATTTTCAGGAATCCATTTGCAGTGCCTTAAGATGTCATAACTATCGTTCGCAATGTCGATATATGTGGGAATTCACGCGCTTGCATTGTAACAATTTCCTTTAAAAATGCGCTGGTCATTACTCCGGGGGCTTTTCTACTGATCAGGAGGTCTATCCAGATTTGAAAGGCCATTTTCACTCATGCTTATGCAAAATAGGCTTCCTAATAGACAAGGGTGAGTCAAAGTAAACTGTGTCCAGCGATTTCTAGTGTAATATAGAAAGATCTGTTTGAATCGATATAATATTAAAAATATGATTACAAGCATAATATCGGTTATAGCAATAAAGTTTCTGGGAATCAGGACACAGTCTGAGTACCGTATCAATAAAATAGTTTCCATACCCGTGAAGTCGCTTCTTACTATAGTTTCTTTCTGATACTTATTAATTTTATAGGGGCACACAGTAGCGTAATTGGTTGATGCACTATGCTACAAGCCGGAAGGGCGTCGGCTCGATTCCCGATCAGGTCACTGGATTTTTCAATTGACGTAATCCTTCCAGCTGCACTATGGCCCTGGGTTTCACTCAGCCTCTAGCAGAAATGAGTACCAAAAATCTTAAAGGGGGGGGGGGAAGGCGGCCGGCGTATAAGGTTGACAATTTCACTTCCATCTTTGAGCCGATTGTTTAAAAAATGTGAGTCTCGACGTCTCACAAACCTATGGGCCTCCGCGGGATAGTTTAACCGTTACCTTCTTATGTTACCTTATATTTCATCCTATAACTTTAAGATCAATATATCTTAATGACAAAATTAATTTATGTGGTTTATATTTGGGTTACTTGAAGGCCGAATGGAACTCCTAAATCTCGGAGCCTAAGCAAGGCTGAACGCCAGTCCCCTTGCACCATAACATCTAGGTCCCTGTGTTAAAGGCTATATAATTCCAGTGATGCTCAGTCGTTACTTTGAAAATATGGGCACACCTCAATTAAATTATTTAGATAAGAAAGAGACGTTTAAACACGTGCTGTAAGAAATAACGGTACAATTCATGCAAGTTTATACAGTAACACCACTGCTATTGCCCCACTAATAACGGGGATGTGAAAAGGGTCTGTAATTGAACGTACATACTGCATTAGTAAAGGAATTATGCAGACCATATTAGTGAAAATGTTCTTGTTTTGACGGACAGATCAAGACTTACCTAAGCGTGGCCTACATTCAACAAATGTCGAACTTGAAATACGTTTCCCAGGTCATAAATATGATTCTACCTATTTCCTAGTACTATCTTTATGATTAACACTATATATAAGTTCACCATAGATGATATTATTTTGTTACTAAGCGCTCTTGAAGTTTACGGGAAGCATACACGGGCAGAATTTTCTCAAATGTGTCATATGATCTTCAAGGATTGGCTTTGCGGTAATTACACGCCATGTGTACATTTGGGTTAGCCTGTTGGTTTGAGATCACGTACACAATTGTACTGAAGGGACCTATATGGATGTCTTCTAGCTGTATGTTATGAAAAGAAAGTATCCTCCAAATATATAACCTAATTCACATTTCATAATAAATACTAACTGCAGTTAGCATCCACGTCCAAATCTAGCACTAACAAAAGAGAAACATTATGGTATAGAGAAACAAAAGCCTGTTCTCATTTTCGTGACCCACTATATACTTACTACTCTACGCCACAACAGAACACATTCTTGCTTATTAAAGCCTGAGAACTCTTCGCTATAATACCACGCAAGAACGCAATGTTTCGGCTTTCGTAAGCGTAATCGCAAAACGCTCAATTTCCCCGGCATAGTACACGTTAACTTTTGAAAGAGTGACTCTACACTCACAATTTCAATCAGCGAATAACCTTTATAAAGATTTCTGCTCAAACCGAATGTTATCTAACTCCATGAATGATTCTGGGATTGTATTATGCAGGCCGATGGACACAACCGGCCCATAAGACATCCCTCATTATATGCAAGAATTACAGATGACGTAAGGAGCTTGTACATTTTTTGTATGGATCCTATAGGATAATTGTTACTATTATTTTTTTAATAATTCAGTAAAAATTTTGACATTGTAAACCGGAGCCGTACTTAAACCGAAGAGAGCTAATTTTGGCATGCATTGTAACAAACTAACGTCCCGACAAAATCGGCCTTTCGGCCACATGTCTTCGTGACATTTTTCGTGTAACCAGTTCAAATTCTCAGATTGACATCATCCCAACTGGAGAGGTAGTGTGAAGTAAGATTTTTATTTTTATTATAGGTACCACTAGAAGTTCCGATCATTGTGATCATCTTCAGGTGGTTCACATGAGTATATACCATCGTTACTGAACTGTCAGACTAACATGGATCCTACTGGTAAATCTGTCTATCTCTGGACCTACAGTTCTTTTGTTGAACCTTGGCCACTTTTTTAGTTTCTTGAGGGCCGCGCCATAGCTCAAGCGGTTAGTCGCTGGCTTCCCATCGCGGCGGCCCAGGTTCGATCGCGGGGCTGGTCAAGTGGGATTTGTTGTGGACAGAGTGGTGCTGGGGGAGGTTTTTTCTCCGAGTACTTCGGTCCCCTGCCAATCTTCATTCCACCAATTGTTCCATAATCACCCTCGCCTATCATCTGGGGCTGGTACAATAGGCCAGAAGTGGCGGCAGTACAAGGGACTAAGTCCCACCCCACTAGCAATAAAAAAATTAGTTTCTTAATCCTATACATAGACAGTAGGACTCCTTGGACGGAGGACTAGCCCGTCGCAAGGCCTCGACCTACACAAATACAGAATAAACGCAAACAGATATCCATGCCTTGAGTGGGATTCGAACTCACGATCCCAGTGTTCGAACGAGCGAAGACTGTGCGGCCACTGCGATTGGCGAGTTAGTAAATACAATAATGTAAATATTTTCGTTGAATTTTGGGTATGTATCATGTAATTGTCCTATAATATATAATATTTAAAAGTTAAGCTTTGAACATTAAAATTAGGTAAATTGAATAAAATTCTTTTTGCCTGTAATTGAATGAGCAGATACTGGCGCCTCACTGGCAGGTTCCTGCTCTTTGGGACAGAAACAGATTTCAGAGCACTAGACGTATTCAAAAAGCTATAATATGTATGCTTTAGGGAGTCGGGATATCGACGGGCTGGACGGCCCGGGTTCAATTCCCTGTAAGGGTAAGTTCTCTTTCTTCTCCACAGCGTCCAGATGGCTCTTGGGCCCATCCAGCCTATCCAATGGGTACCATGGGCTTTCTCCCTGGGGATAAAGCAGCCGGGACGTGAAGCTGACAACTCATCTCCATCTAGTGCAGAGGTCAAGAATGATGGAGTTATACCTCCATTCTGCCATACTTCATGGCGTGGTGGTTAATTAAGCACAAGGAAAAGCATACCTCCACTTTACAAGGAATTTGATGCTTTCATAGGTTGGCCTAGAGATAACCTACTAAATTTGTATTCGCGAGGCCGGCGGTTCGAACCCCTGCAGGGACATTAGCTCTCTTCTGGTTCTTAGCCATTTCGTTAATGCTTGCACTATCTGCTTGTTAGTACAGGCACAATCAGAAGAAATACCATCCACCTAACCAATGGCTATCAGGGGCTCTATTCCCGAGGGTGAAGCGGCCGGGACGTGAAGCTAACCACTCACCTCCATCTAGTATCGAAGTCAAGAATGGTGAAGCTATACTTCAATTCCCCTATATGTCATGGCACAGTGCTCAGTTAATTAAGCACAAGGACTCTACCTTTTTACCACATAATATAGGCCTTAAGCCCGTCACGGTAGCCGAGCGCTCGGTTGGAAACCGGGGTCGTGGGTTCGAATCGCACTCAGGGCATGGATGTTTAGTTTGTGTGTGTGCGTTTTTCTGTGTTTGTGTACAGGTAGAGGCCTTGCGACGAGCTGATCATCCGCCCAAGGAGTCCTACCGAATGTGTAAGATCTAGAAAAACCGAAGTGAACGGAGAAGTTCATGGAGGTAGGCCTAGGTCCACTGGGGCTGTAGTGCCAAGGGGGGAAAAAATAAAGGCCTTAAGGGAGGAGGGGGTGCACGATATTCCAAGCTACCACACTGACCAAATGGGGATTGTTTAAATATTTTAGTTGCTTGTGTGCTTGCTGAGAGACTGGTATTTTCTCATCTCAAAATATAACTTTCTGTTATTTATTGATATCAACCGAGCGACCGCCACTTATCGGCGAAGTTTAGTGCCAACTTTAGCGGATAGAGGTTGTCGCGTGGTCAGCGCAACGAAACCCCACGGCCGTTAATTTCGGTTTACTAGACCGGAGCCGCTATTTCCTTGAAATAGCTCCTCAATTATCAACACGAGGCTGAGTGGACTCCGTCCCAGAACCACTACTTCTCAGAAAATCTGGTAGCGCCGGGAATCGAACCCGGACCTCTGGATCTATAGCCAGGATCGCTGACCACTAGACCACAGTGGCGGTTGGTATAGTTCGCTTGCGGACTAAAATCACGGAGTTTTGTTTTTCTTTTGTTATTTATTGATTGCTCAAATATCTGACTGCTTCAAATATGAGTATGGATTTCTATGAATCACAGAATTATCGGTCTTTTTTTTTAATTATTCCAGCAACCACCAACGGGTCTGTAGAGCAATAATTCCATGCTTTGAAGAGGGTCCATACTTACTTACACTGAATGGGATCCCAAGACACTAAATTACCTTCAATGACAACTGAGAAGAAATTTCTTTGGGACTTACAAAGCAATCTGAACAACTGTGACTGTCATATTTTCACTGATAGAAATCCTTATATGGAACTGACATACGAGATGTAATTAAAGAAGGTAAACTCAGTAGTCACTATATATTTCTCCTCATTTTAAATTTCTTTCCTCTTTCATTAAACTTTAATAATTTCTAGTATAAATTTGCACAGTTGCCAACCAGGATGCATACACTTAACTGCTAAAATTTTCACAACTTCTCTCTGTCTCTGGCTAACTCAATAACCAGTAAATTAAAAGATATATAGTGTGAATAGAATATCAATTGCTAGAATCACCTGCTCATGTATCTCCACATTCAAGCCCTTTCTCTGATAAGTGCTCCTTTCTTAACTACCCAATTATAACCAAATGATTTTGTTTTGTATTGTTCCCTTATGTTATAGACTCTCCTTGTCTGTATCAGTGTAAGTTCTACTGCCACTGGGTGAACAACCAATTGCAGTAAAATAATAATAATAAATTTGCCAGTCTTTCATTTTCCATGCATATGCAAAAAGGACACTGTATGAGTGTGGAAAATATCAACAATGAAGAATGCATTTAAAACTGTAGTTGGATAACCTCACAGGAAGAGATCATGTGGAAGATCATGGTATAAGCATAGAATTTCTAGACCAACTGATTATGTTAATTATCAACCATTTGAAGCATGACCATGGAGTCAGTTAACAACATGCTAACTGAACTGACTCTGGCTTGAGGAGATTCTCATTTGAGTGTGTTCCGTTTAGCTTAAAAGCCTCTCTGAAGGTCTGAAACGTTTCAACTGTTGCTCTGCTATAATCCAACCAAGGACATACATACATTAATGAACTGGTTTTCATTAGATGGTGATTCTTTTTTAATAAGTTTCTTAATTTTGCCTAGATATGTGTTTGTATAGTGCTGCATCATGTTATGTAGAAGCATACAGATATATGTATTTTCACATATATCACCAATTTCTAAAAGGTGAATGACACACTTCAGCACATACATGCCATCCTCAGGCACTCAAATATTTGAACATGTGCATAAATAAAATGTATTCATATATTAAGGTATTAGGGAATCCAAAGATGACATGTATGTGCTGAAACATGGGGAATTCCCCATAAGTTTAAGCACGTATTAAAATACATGATGGCCAAAAGATGGTACCTACGTCCTGAAACATGAGGGATCCCCATAATATGAACATTTATCCATATATTCAAGTACATAACAGCCAGAAATATCTGAGGACCCAAAGATGGCATGTTTGTTTTGAAACATAACACACCTGGTAGAAATTTGTGACAGAATATATGTTACAAGACTGAAAATGTATGTGTTCCAGCTGGGTGATAATGCATCGAAAGGTAAGTGTACAGTTATATGTCAGGTTGCATTCTCCTGGCATCTCAGTTCTTGTAATTAAGCACTTGGTCAAAACAAACAGGATATCACTTTTAATTAGAAGAGGGCTGTGTATTGGTGTGAACCATGTGGAATTGGCTACTGAGGCTATGCTCCTAAGGACAATTAGAATGAATGTGTGAGATTAAGGGCTGAGGCAAAAGAAGAGAAGACTACAGCAATATCTTGATGAAGAAATGCTACAAGAGCCTATATAATTGGTTCTTCTATGTTAAACATAGTAGAATGAAGACAACTCAGACATGGAAATGAACTCCAGAAAACTAACTAGAAGAACATGAATATGGCAGCAAGGCCAAGCAAGGCTGCGCCATAGCTCAAGTGGTTAGTCGCTGGCTTCCCACCGCGGTGGCCCGGGTCAAGTGGGATTTGTGGTGGACAAAGTGGCACTGGGGTGGGCTTTGTCCAAGTACTTCGGTTTCCCCTGTCAATCTTCATTCCACCAATTTCTCCATCATCATAATCACCTGGGGCAGGTACAATAGACCAATCAGTGGCCACTGTGCCGAGTGGACCCAGCTGAATTCCGCCCCCCATTAGCGAATTAATAAAAAATTAAGGTCAAGTAAACCGAGCAAAGCTGTAAAACTGAAGAGAATTTTTTGAAGCGGAAATCATAGAAGTAAAAAAAAATCCTCAGTGTGGATAAGGAAAAGAGTGCGAAGAAGTTTCAGCAGTTAAGAGAAGAAACAAAGGTAGCTCTGAAACTTCAGTATGCTGGAGGTAGAGAAGGCAAGATGTCGGCATAGCTGATATGATGTTAGAATTCCGGCTGTGTCACATCAAGCCAACTTTCACTTCCAGACAAGCATCAAGTGATCCTTCTTATCTTAAAGATGGAAATTATTCTACACAAAATACTGGGAATGTGAAGTATCCTACTCCTGAGGCAGGTTTTGTGACGTCTCAATTATGTGTAATTTATATAATCATACATGTTCAAAAAATGATACAACCATGCAGAATATTCTATATACTCCAACCACTATGAATATGAGGGTACATCATCTTCAGTTAGTGACTCAGACAGTTATGTCATCATTACAAAGATAACATATTCTATTTTCCATAGATTTCCTGTGCCAATATGCCAGTGGGAAATTCAAACATACTTACAAAGGACTTTTCTTCCATAAGGTTGCCTACACAAGGTGTGATGTACCCTTGTTTGAGACTTTATACAACAATTTGTGCTTCATATCGTGTGGGCTGATGAGAAAAAGGACTGTCCTGTTATTTAAAGACCAGAAAAGAAGCCTGGCAGTTCTTGCCTAAACTGTAATACTAGGACTGGCTTAAGCAGATTTACATTGGTTAGACATGAGCACAATACTGTAGCAGGGTAGCTTTTGGAGGAGGGATGGGTATAACCATGTTAGCCATGGCATGGATGGGAAGATGGTATTGAACTGATTTTAGATATACAGTATGAGAATTTGATTAGTGTTTTTCAATGTCTTGCATTTGTGTTCTAGTCATTTTATCACCCCAAATGTAGTCCCACCATAGTATCTGTACTCTATATTGACTTGGGGTGAAGGGGGCTTCTGTGGCACCAAGCACTGAGGCCTCTGCTTGGTCTGTAGTACCAACACAGCAAAAAGGAATACTTCTCTTTTTCTAGGAAGTGTGAACCCTATTCTTATAATTATGTACACTTTAGTGTCATGTTAATCATTAATGGCAGTTCTTCAGGACAAGTATTGAATGAATTTTTTATAATATGTTTTATTAATATAATTACATAACCACAGTAGGGTTCAATTAGAGTTACTTTGAGTGGCTTATTCATAGTCAAGCCATTTAAAGATATATTATAAGAAAATATTCCAAAGCAGAAACCTTCTCAGAATGAAGCAAATTTTTTTAATTTCATGTGAATGAATTAATTACCACTTCTGAGAACATATAACTATCGCATGCTCTATAGGTTGAGAAACACTAGTTTATCTCGAGCTGTTATTCTTGATCATTTCATGACTAGGAAACTGAAGAGAAAAGACTATTCTGACAATAAAAGTCCCTTTATTGTAACAACAAATAAAAAACAATTTCAATGTGCATTTAAAATGTTAACATGGGGTACAATTCTGTACTATACTTCTCACACATAACAATTAGCCTCATAAAAATAAACATCTGGAATTATTCACAAAGAAAGAAAACACATCACAATGACAACTGCAAGTCTGTCATGGACCCTTCAAAAAAGGATGAGCATGGCAAGCACCACAAATGTTACAGGACGCCAGAAGTGCCTGATGATTCTGATGGCAGTAGGATTTGGAAGAAAAAAAGCTTGGCAGTTCCTTACACTGGAATGCACAGATTTCACCATAGTTTCAGATATGTAGATTTTTAACTTATATTAGCATAATTTTCCAAAATCATGTATTGTACAGCAGTAATGTGATTGAGTTTAAACAGACTGGATTTGATTTGCAGCTAGGAAACAGAATCTGTAAATAGTACTTTGTGTTTCACTGATTTATGGTGTCATCTTAATTCTTGATATGCACATCCTTCAAGATACTGTTCAAACATGTCTTTCTTTTATATTATAAGGGATGATGAAATGTAATTTAATGCAAGACTGAACATGATTCAGAAAATTAAAAACAAAAAAAGGGGGGGGGTCTTGGAATCACTTGAACTGGTGATAACCCATGCTTCCTATCTTGAAAAACAGGTCGTGGTACCCACATGGGGTGCAGAGCAAGCTGGGCACCTGCCACCCCTCTAGATTTTTGTTAACGTGATGATGATGAATGAATGAACGTATTAGGGGTAGGCCTCCTCAGCCCTTGCACCGCGACCTACAGTGGTCTATTGTGCTTTAACATGATGATGATAATAACAATAAAAATTTTATACAATTAAATTCTTCTATCCTAAATACTCTTAGAGTTATCAGTAAAAATAATCTTAAATGGTAGTTACTATAGGATTCTGACGATGGTGTATAACACACTGATATATTGGGTTTTTGGACTTTATCCATCGTCCTGGTTTTTAAGATAACCAATAAAAACACGACGTTTCGGAAACTGGATCTGTTTCCGTCCTCAGGTGAAGGAAAACCCTATTCTGTTGGGTCCGTTAGAAAGAGCTAGCCTCAATCACTCATCCAGTGAACTGNAAAAACCAGGACGATGGATAAAGTCCAAAAATCCAATATATCAGAATCTTAAATGGCTTAAACATAAATTTGTAAGTCAATTTTCTGGTTGGCCTGTTCCCAGAAAACAAATTATGGCAGTGTCCAAGGGTATTTTTTAAACAAAACAGATGACTTTAAGCCCACTTTTTATCCTTGAAGAAAAACATGCTGGTACAGTATACCACTGTGTACTGCCACCCACACACACATACAAAAGAAGCACTGGTGATAACAAATCAGACATAATCTTACAAACAAATTTAAAATGGTCACTGTAAGAAACCTGTATTCATTTTATGTTCATTACAGCTTCCCACAACTCCAGTTCAGACCAAAGTGCCGAGCTGAAGTATGCATACTGCAGAGCATGGTGACACAAAGCTTATGGATGATGGTAACATTTTAAATAAAGGCACATGTTCATATCACAAAACACCAAAATTACAACCATATTATTTAACAAATACTGTTTCAAATTTACAGGTCTGAAAGTAATAAAATGAGAGAAAAACTACCTGTAGAATTACAAGAGGTCGTAAGTTATGGATGTCTAACTTATAAACAAACCTGTTATGCTGTTGATGGTATATAATCATTAGATAATGATGTGGATCATTACACAATTTATAGAAACTTACTAGATTCTGTTTTAAGCATACATTGAGAACCAAAATCAGCATACCAGAAATATCATTGAACACATATGGCTTTTCTCCCTTAGGGTTGACTACTGAATGTATGATATACCTTCAAAGATGTTTTGGACAAACATTATCTAAATTACAATATTCTGTGATATGACGTCATGTAGTTTGGTAGATTATGTTTTGGACAAGCCTTGACCCTGAGGATGCAGGCATATACCAAACCACATGATGTCTCACATCAGAAGACCATAATCTTCCTTTACACCACTGGGAACCTCAAATCTCACAAAGCCATTACCTACCTCAATACTCTAATAATCTGATCGCATAAATGCCAGTTCATATGTACAAACAAACCAGCTGCCATTCTTGGTAACTATACTTGCAGCAGTAGAACACAGTGTCTACACTTCATGGGATGTTCTGTGAAAGTCTTTCTCCTCCATAGGGAAGGCAGTGCTCAAGTTAACAACACTTTGACACTAGCAGCAACAGTAGCAGTAGCAATAGCAGCAGCAGTAGTAATCATATTAGTAGTGGTGGTAGCAACAGCAGCAATAATTGTAACCTGTTTTCATGCTTTGTGCCATTACTGATATTACAAGAGTATTGCTTTCAATTATTATTCATATATAATCTACTATATTTCAGCTTGATTAGGGTTAAATAAGATACTGTGATCTATTATGGGAACCTTCACGACATTTATAACACTCTGTTTATAGGAATCAGGTTCAGAGATCTGAAAAAATGCAATGGAACCCATCTGTAACTTGGGGACTTCCTGCACTATGATGCTACACAAAGCAAACAAGTTTCTTCAAATCTCATACAAGCTTATAATATGCCAGACACATTCAAGTCAATTTTGTGCAAAACATATAACACTACATTTCTCACTCTCTGCCTCAAATACATCTAATTTGCATATGCAAGAGATATCATGTGCACCACAGTCAGTTACATAAGGTAAGATGCATACATGAGCCATGTTTTAATGTGAAAATACAAATAATACTGTGACGTGTTGTGCTATGCAGGACACCCCTCCTCCCACCAGCGGTGATGTAACACCATCAGAGCGCTGTCGTTACTAGGGTAGCAGGCAAGTCAACACTCCTTTCCCTACCCGCCAGCGGTGACATGACAGAGGGATGCCGCGGTTGCTATGCAGCCATAAACAACTCCCGACAGCGTTGCTAGCAACACGGCGCCAGACAACAGTGGTGCCTATTACGTGGCTGTTTTCTGTGTTGTCCGGAACAGGGCTAAATAAGGAGCAGCGAAGACTATTCACAGTTCAGTTCTCAAGGCAGCAGTTACAAGTTACTTGCGAGTTGGCCAGAGAATAGTATGCAGTCTAGTAATTGTAATACTGCAGATAGCAGTAGCTGTGAGATTGTAAACTGTGTGATTATAAGAGCGAATGTGCAATAAATTTTCTATATCAAATATGGCGTGAAGTTATCTGTCGCGTTATACACCCAACACGTGACAATATGATATCTGTGTGTTCATTCCACAGACTACATACACAGGGGAGGTTATGCTTGTCCTCACACTTTGAGAACTGCTGTATATACTTCAATAAAATTAATGCTAGAGAGTTTTATTATAAAAAAAAGCCTGTCAAATCAGAAAAGAATGATGACTTTACATAGAGATCTAGTCATTTTGAAACATACCTTGCATGTATCCCTATAAATATTTACCTGAGCAAGTTTTGAACACAAGTTACAGGAAATATTATCTGTGCATGGATTACTTGGTTTGCAGCTTTTCAATTCACCTTTTGAAGCATTTGCCTCCATAAAGAGAGAGCAGTAAGTTTGGCCAGTATGTCCACATGTAGGTCTGCATGCATGAGAAAACTCAAACTACTGCAGAGATTTGGCACTTTATAAGAAGATCATGGGTTTCTGTGCATATCTGAAGCATAACTTGCTGCATATTTATATAAGAGCAAATGTTACAGAGAAAAATGCAACACATTTTAAATGTTCTATAAGTCTCGTTTTTCAAGATAAATGAACAGATCAGATGCTACCTATGCACACACTTCTGAATTTCTGTATTCAACTATCATCATTACTTGATCATATCCAATATTTGAATTAGTAGTACTTTTAAATTACGAGTATTCACATATATTTTCCCTTTTATTAGTATCAATAATCAAGAGTAATGTATTTATTTTGTCATGGATTTTTTCTGTAAAGCATATTTCTGAAAACATTCAAAATATGGATAAATAAAGGTCTGAAACCCAAACTTCAAATTACATATGAAATGTTGTGTTAGTTCCTTATACTTCAGTGCATCCTTTCCAGTGAGTTCTGTGAGTTTTTTAGATTAAACAAATCAAATGAATACATAATGGCAATGTCACAGCCATCTGCAAATTTCATCTACAACATCTGTAGTGCCTCAAATTTGAGATTGGAGATTGTAAGGTATTACCCAAATGTTAGAGACTTGCGAAAAGTGTGTTACAGTTATTACAGTAATCTGTCAACACCTGGACAGGCAAATAGGTTAAGAATGTCGCTGATCAGCATGTATGTGTACCCGAAGTAGCAAGAAGCTTGCCTCACTTGGTCACTGGAGTAACGTAATAGTACCGCATACTCAGCAATGAGACGCCAGGGGTCCGCCCACAACCACCAATAAGAACCAATTAGAATGTTACTATGAGAATTGAGGACACTGAGGAGGAGTTACCTACCCTCTGTCATCAACGCTGAATTAGCAAATTAAAACTATAAATTACAGAATTTCGGGGGACTTGGGATCTTGATCTAACACAGAATATTCAGTTGTCCGCCGGAGGCGCTATTCAATATGGGTCTGACGAGTGCTGGAAGTCAGCCTGCATTCTTCTATGTCAAGTAAGTCTCTTTACGCATAACTGCCATGCTGGTTAATAATATTGTTGATGAGAGTGGTGAGTGATTTTAATGTGCAAACTCAAGTGTACCCGGCGAACCCTTAGGGGAGGATACGAGAATTATGTAATTGCCTAGGATGTTAGTAAGGCAGGAAGGGTTATAGTGTATGGTCAAGGGTATGGTCAGTGTGAAGTGAAGCATATGTAGACCCGACTGAAAGTCGGCCTTGTTTAATAATGTAAATACTGTAAATCATGTAAATACAAAAGTGTAAATAGATAGATAGGATAGGATGTACCGGGATGGTGATTTACACCTCTATAATCAACTTTCCCACAACCGATCCCGACCAATCCTGACCAAGCAAGGGCTGAACTGACACAGGCAGCAGTAGCAGCCGAAGGCAGGAAAGACAAACAGGGACAGAGAGGTTAGCGGTATCCTCGCATAGGAGGAGTTACATGTAAATACCTGTAAACTATATGAGGAGTGGTCAAGATGGAGCTTATATGCTCC